TCTTTCAATTCTTTTCCACCTGAATGTTATCTAGTGGCACCTGAACGAAGACATCAGCAGCTGACAACAATACAAGAAAATCCCCAAACAGAAAGTGAGATTAGGCGTCTACAGAGCTGTGTAAAAACAAGTCGTACGTCTCGATCCTTGGTTATAAATTAAAAAATCAGAGTGCTAGAACCAGCGAGGTGTGGCACTAAATCCTGTGCTCGTTGACATATTGCACAGAATAAACACTAACAGGTGCACCTTCTCCCCGGGTCACCCTCTGGCTGCACACCAATATGGAGCAGTCGGAGGAAAAGTGTGCGTGTGTGTGCATGTGCGAATGTGTGTCCCTGTCTATAAATGAGACAGAGAGGGAGCGCAGAAGTGCCGAGACGGGGTGTAGTTGTGTGAGGGAGGGTGAGTACGAACATCTGCTGTCCTCCAGGGTTTTCATTTCTGCTTAGTGCGGCAGTATGCAGTCACTAATCAAATCGCACATGTCAGGACTGGCAAGAGGAACGACATGTGTTTGTGTTCTTGAACGAGACAATGTGTGCGTTTCTGTGTGTGTGTGTGTGTGTGTGTGTGTTTGTTATGGTCTGTGACCAGTAAAGAACCAGCATCTTCCGTTGTGTTCGTGATTGTGTGTGTCCTCACCAATAAATCAGCGAGTCTTCCTCCTGAAGGAGCTCGGGGTCATCTGTTAATCTTAATTTGCTACAGATTATTTGTTACAGATACATCCATTAAAAAAAAAATGTTATAATTGGAAGAATGATAACATTTTCTCTAAAGTACCTGCTAATATTTTATCACATCAGCTCACAAATATTTACTGCATATTTTAACAAAACGACAACCTCGACAGATTGAAAAAAAATCATGGGCGTCTAAAATCATCCTGATGCATCTTAGTCTTGTTACTACTTTTCTGGGGGCTTTTACGTGGAGAATCTTAAATACTAACAAGTCTAGCGTTTCTTGAAGGAATGCATATCACCCGCCACTTTTCATTCAAGAGTTTTAAACTAAAATCATCTCCTGATGAGAAGGTTTTTTGTCATACCTTGTACTTTACATCAGAGGTTATATATTATATATATATATATATATTATATATATATTATATATATATTATATATATATATATATATATTTTTTTTTTAACAGGTATGTAGATGTTTAACAACCCGTTAAAATACACCAAAAAGCAGGAAATTGTTTTTTGGGTGAGGACCCCCAGATCCCTCCCACACCACCCGCTATTTGCATTCCAGCCTTCCAAATTAAGCCCTTTTACTTTGTATGAGAACTAGTGTTATGATTCTGTTTGGTTGTATGTAAAGAGTTTTCTTTAATAATTTGAAGACATGGAAATGTTCATTAAATGAACAGGTAAAGTTGTAAAGTGTTTTTTGATTCTGTTAATTTTCTCAAAACTGTAATTTTTGGAAGTTGAAATTAAATATTTTGTTAATTAAGTGTGTCTTGAATGAAAAATACCCCATGTTTAAAAGTATAAACATTGTATTAACACCATTAAAGAACAGGTTTTATGTATTTAGGTTACACAAATATTTTCATTGCATTAAAGAGACAAACTGAAGAAAAATATTTAATAAACATGAGGGTTAGGTGGGGGTCCTTTAAACTTTTTCTCCCTGTAAGGGGTCCCTGAACCCAAAAAGTTTGAGAACCCCTGCTATCAATGACATGAGTGATGTTTTGCGATACTGCAAGATCTCACATGGTTTGCTACCGCTTAAAGTACAATATCTGTCTGAGGATGACGCTCAGCTACACCCAAATTAACTACAGAGCTGTAAAACTGAGTTGTAGCCATACTGCATTAGAATTCATCCGCTGGTTCTTGATATATTTTGCTAACTCAACAGACAAACAAAGACACAGAAACGGGTAAAACCTTATCGCCGTCTGCAGCAGGCAATAATGACGGCCACAAAACCAAACAAGACCTGGCTGAGTTCAGATAAAAAGCTGGTGGAACCTTTTAGAAGATCGTGTTCGTTGCATACGAGATTTCAGAATGTACAATAAAATAATTAAGAGATTTGCAGACTTGGAAGTCTGAATAAAAAAAAAGTGATTTTAGTTGTATTCGTTCGAGTAATGTTCTAACGTCACTGTGTGATAATCGACAAATCAGCAAAATGTTATTAGCAATCACAGTTGCAGCCATTAATAGATGTAGGTTAGAACAGTCGGCGCGATGACCTTTTAACGGGGAAAAGGTTTTCAACGTTATTAAATTTTTAATTAGCTTCCCGACCCTACATTTAATAAATAATAATATTAGACTGAAACCTGTTTAGTTCATGTTCCTATTTGTGAAGTTTTCCGAGACTCTCAACACATCTGACCTTGTTACAGCCTGCTGTGGTGCTGCCATTAGGCATGTGTTAGTCACACATGCACAGACACCCCGCTCGCTTGTGTTACTGTATCTTGGTGAGCATGAAAATTTGTGTTGCTGATAAAAATAGACTTGCACAAGAGGTTCTATAAGCTCATCTGTCACAGTGACAGATAATGATTCATTACAGTAAAAAAGCCTGCCTTTGAGTGTCAGTGCATTCATGCCTGTCTCAGTGCATGCATGTCTGAGTGCGTCTCCGTGGTATGACTGATGACTGAGGCTGCTCGGGGTCCTGCAGGCTGCGCCGCGCAGCTTCTTTTCTCCTTGGTCTGTGTCAATTAGTCGTATTCTCTTGCAGGCAGGTCACAACAACCCTCTCCCCAGCACAAAAATCCCCTAATCTCTCCTTGCGTTGCCCAGCAGACACTAAAAAGGCAAACCCCAGACATCCTGCACAGGCTGGTCTTCCTAAGGCTTACAAACTTTACGTGAATTTTATTTTTCTTTCTATTACCCATATTTTCCGACGTATAAGTCGCAGTTTTTTGCATAGATTTGTCAGTCCTTCCTTTTCTTCCATATTCATAACGCAATTTTTGACTGACGTTTTAAATTTCCAAGAACTGCAACAGCGAGTCTTCCTGTGCGCGCTCGCTTCACTCAGCTGGTGCAGGCGGAAGAACGCTGGAGAGCTAGCAGCTTCGGCTGCGATGGCTGTATGGGTGGAGCCGCACCACCCAGGCAAAATGAAGCTGTTTTGGCCATTAAAGTGCATTTATTAAGAAAAAGTTAAACTGAAATACCCCTTTGCTATGATGCTGGGCAAACAAATAATTGTTTTTAAGTGTTAATCTTGTTAAATGTCTAAGAACTGCAACAGCGAGTCCTCCCGTGCGCTCGCTTCACTCAATTGGTGCAGGTGGACGAACGCTGGAGAGCTAGCGGCTCCGGCCTCGATGGATGGATGGCGCCCCACACCCCAGGCGAAATGAAGCTGTTTTGACCATTAAATAAACACATAATAAACACGACGGGTCAGCGGTGACGCATAATAAATGTGACTTGTACACCGAAGTGACTTATATAGATTTTTTTTCCTCTTCATGATGCTTTTTTCTGACTGATGTGAGTTATACACTGGAAAATAAAGTAGTTTAACTCTTTTTTTTTTTTTAATCCTGTGGCTTGAAGTTCAATTGCGAAAAGAAAATAACTGGTGTTATTTTTAGTATTTGTTAGTCAAGAGAATTCCTCTACAAGCTCTTAAAAATACACTTTGTGTGACTTTGCCGTATCGCAGCAGATGCAGTTGTGTTCCACATCAAACGGGTGGCATATTAGCATAATGAGTAGCTTTTAACTTCAGTTTCACACGCTTTACTGTTTGTGAAAATCAGCTTTGCTTGTGGGCGTTGGAAGTGAGGGGCAACACAGTTAATTGTGTAGTGGTTCAAATGATAACAAATATGAAAAATGACCACAGCAGGAGGCCAAATGTGTGAAATAAAATGTGAAACTACTAAGTCTAGACCAAAAAAAGGAAGAGGAAAGAACCAAAGGTAGAACAAATGACCACGAAGAGGAAAACACGGCCAGAGAAAAGCCAGCTTACCACAAAGACATCAAACTCTGACAGGAAAACAGATCTATTCAATTAAATTACATCCATCCATTATCTTTACCTGCTTCTTCCTTTTTTGGGTCATGGAGGTCACTGGTGCCCATATCCAGCCATCACTGTGCGAGAGGCAGGGGACGCCCTGGACAGGTCTCCAGTCCATCACAAGGACACATAGACACAAACAAACAACCATGCACTCTCTCACTCACACCTAGAGACAATTTAAAGTTACCGATCAGTCTAATATTTTGATCTGTGGGAGGAAACCAGAGTACCCGGAGAAAACCCACGCATGCACGGAGAGAACATGCAAACTGCACCCAGAAAGGCCCCCGGACCGGGATTTGGACCAGGGTGACCTGCTCGCTGAGAGGCAGCAGCTCTACCAGTTGTGCCACCGTGCTGCCCTTCAATTCAATTCAGTTCATTTGTAAAGTGTCAAATCACAACAAAGTTGTCTCAGGGCACTTTACAGGAACATTTACATAGAAAGCCAATTAGTAAAGTTCTCTATCTAAGATCTATAGGAAGAGAATAAAAAACAGACCAAAAAAGAACAACATAAAGATTGCAAACGCAAAACGTCTGGAAGCAGATCCCTGTTGTTTGATAAATGAAGCACGTTTTACGTCTATGCCCAGAAGCACGAGTGAAAATATAGATGATGCTGGAAAATATGAAAAAAAAAATTCACTACTTAGCATAACAAATCCATCAGAGTGAAAAAAAAAACACACATTATCAATTATTAACAGACATTATAGTGAAATGTGACAAATGGCTTTGAATACAAACTTTAACTCTTCTTATTGTTTTTTTTCCAGTTATTAGGAGATTAGATGCAAAGCTGCAGACAGTTTTTTTTTGAACATCTGGTGGAAAGATCACAAAAACAGCCAACGGAGAGCTGTGCTGTCCACACAATCATCCTCTTGTTTACTGTTGATGCTGTGGTGTTGACAGTGTTTATGGAGGGCAGTTATTGATCCGTGTGTCTCTTATTTTTCTGTGAAGGTGTTGTATTTGCTGGGGGCGATGTCTCTGTCCATGGCTTTGCAGCTGGACCGTCACGGTCTGTGGAACCTGCTGGGGCCGAGCCTGTTCGCGCTGGGCATCATGGCTGTAGCATGGGTAAGAAAGGGTTTCTTTTAAATAAATCACAAGACCGTTCTCATTCAAATATACTTTATTTACCCTCAACCATGTATCTAAAAACAATACAGCTTAGAGTCTTGGCCTTAGAAGCAGCAGATTTGCGTTTATAAAAACAAGTGTTTATATAAATGCATTAAATGTCAGAGGGGTGACATTTAAAACTTGTATACAGCCACAGCTGTATTGTTCCTTTTGTTATTGTATTTTTAAAAGAAATTCAAACAGCATATAAATATTAATGCACTCTCAATTGTTTGAATCTTGTTTTTGAAAATCTGTAAAATTCTGACTACTCAGCAAAGAGGTTAATTTTGCTCAGTGCATGAAAATAATTATTATAAAACAGTGCTGTGCAGAAGTTTTAAGGCATCCATATCTCCGTGTTGCCTTCTTGTAATTTCTGAAGTGCTCTTGCTCAGTTGCCCGTTTTGCTTTCTGAGTACCTTTAATTTTTTTTTTTCGTTGAACAGTGGCTGCTTTATGTCGTATTTAATCAAATCCTAGAACCTTTTCAAATAATGTTCTGCTTGTTTGTTAAGTCACTCAACTCTCATTCAGGCATGAACATGCTCCGAAACTCAACCAAACTGAACCACAGTTGTGTTGGTACATGGCCGGCAACTTGGCAATAACACAACTTTAAATTGGATTTTAAGGCACTTTCTTACAAACAGATTGTCACAAAGACTCAATCATGAACATAAATTAGTATTTTAAGTCCAACAAGTTAATTCCCAGACAGCTGGTTGCTTAAAACTTGAACTACAGTGAAGGATCACCATTAGAGCTGGAGCCAGATTAATGCCATCCAAGGAGGGCGAAAGACTGAAAAATTCTTTCCTAAGATGCTCAGGTCCAAAAACTAAAACCTCAGTCTTGTCTGTGTTCAAAAGCAGAAAATGTAGGGTCATCCAGATTTGTATGTCTTTAAGACATGCTTGTAGTCTAAGTAGCTGATTGGATTAATTTGGTTTCATGTACAAATATAACTGTGTATCATCAGCATAACAATGAAAATTTATCTCATGCTGTTTAATAACATTACCTAATGGAAGCACATACAAGGTAAAGAGTATTGGTCCAAGCACTGAACCTTGAGGAACTCTATGACTAACTTTGGAAGCATGATGAAGATTTATTATTTACATGTACATCCAATCCAGACATGTTCCTGTTTTTAGTATTTTACATCGCTTTACAATGTAGCTGTTTCTGTTTTGTTTTTTTAATAACATTTTCCAACATTTATTTTTTTCAATTTATGTGCTTTCATTTGTGATTGTCTACTGTTGTCTACTGTTGTCATCATTCTTTGTTAAAAACAGGTCTCTCTTATAAATAAATGAGTCCTCGAGGCTCAATGGGACTAACCTGTATAAGTAAAGGTTGAATGAAAAGGTGATGCGTCTGTCAGGTCTGCTGCATTTTCCACACACTGCACAGTTTTTTTTTTAAGGGTGCAAGGAGTTGACCTCCAAAAAAATGACTGAACAAGCATCCAAAACCCAATGAAATACTTGTTAAAGATTTCCATAAAGCCTGAGGAAATACTGATAAAGAACACTTTAACCAATTAGAAGAAAATATGGCTGCTTGGAAGCAAAGCATAAAGAAGTGATGAACGCCTTAAAACATTTGCACAAGCCGATGCATTTATTAAGCATGCTTAATATTTCAAACTAAGCTTTTCTAATGCAAATAAGACCCATCCTCATGATCTGTACAATCCATCATATAAGTCCCCTAACATCTGGAACATTTGTGTAGCTAAAACTGTGGCTTTCTGACTAATAAAATAAGTTTAGATAAGTATGGGGGGCTTTAAAAGTTTTGTTCTGCCTGTACCTATTAGTTATGGGTTGTAGTCCCATTATAACTCTGCATGTACTTTCAGCGACTCTTTGAATCATAATGTGCTCCCTCAACTGAGAAGATAAAAAATAATAGTCTTTCAGGCGAGGTGCTTGAATAAATAGAGCCTTTAACACTGAACCCCTGGCATGAGTCAGAAAACAAGCTTTGTGGTTTCCTTGGAGAAAGCTTTGTGTTGGATAAAATGTGGAAGCTTCATCCACGGATGTGATCTCTCTGCGAGCTGGAGGATTCAACAGAAATAATGAGATGAAGCACTGATTAATTCCTCCCTAATTCGCCCTCCAGCTTTTAACACAAAAAAGAAGGAAGCATTATATTTTCAGATAGACAGAAGATAAAACTTCCCCGATTAACAGCTATGCATTTTAAATCTTCTGCAGCTGAAATTAAATAATGACAAAACCTTCCATTCTTCTTTAGTTGAAGCTTACGAGCTCTTTTAGGCTTAAGTAATTCAATTATAGATGTCTTGTTGATATATATTACTTTACAAATATATAATGCAAGCACCGTGGTCAAATTGGGACAAAACGAATGAAGCGGGAGTATAAACTCTGACGCCTCTAATATCTTCCCACGGGTAAATCAGACCGCACACAAACTGAACTGCACCCTGCAACTTTTCCAGAGAAAGTTGCTCGGCTCTCATGCTAAGATTGCACATTTTAAAGAAAAACCTGAGCTCATGCTTTGATTACCTGACAGTTAATAATTCATAAGCTGTTCAGCCGAGCATATCTGCGCTCGGTCTTTTTGCCTCTTGGTTTGAGCGCCACAGAGCCCTTTCATTTCGGCTTGTCATGTTTCTGCAACGCTCGGCATTCTGAATGTTCCCAGACACAACTAAATTAGATCAGCAGAGCGGAGGGCTCAGAGCGTCTGCTGCCGCGCAAGAGTGTCATTAACAGTCAGAGGCAGGAGGAGGAGGGCGGTTCAGAGCAGTTAATTCCAAATATCCCTAATTTTCTAAACCAAACGACGTCTCTGACTGGAGCGTGAAGAGACCATCCTGGTTGGGAACGGTTTGCTGTAACAGGAAAAACGTGCCGCTCCCGAGAGACTCAAACAGTAAAAACACAATTTTATGATTTTCCTCACTCGGCTTTACGCAGATGATCCACCCTTAATCTAAATTTAACTAGAGAATTTGCATTTCCTACAAAAATGCAGTGTGAATGCATATTGCAGAAGAACTTGCTGAAAAACAGCTGAAATTAACACACACACACAAAAAAAACAACATTCTGAAATGTAGCTGAAATGGAAGAATAAGCCCAAATTAGCAGAAGAAAGCAGAAAGAACACATTTGCTGAATTATATTTAAATAAGCAGAATGAGCACAAAAAATACAAAATTCGCTAAAAACAGTTGACATTAGCAAAAATTTCTTGAAGTATCTAAAAAGCAAAAAGAAGCTTAAAGTACCAGAAGGGAGTAGAAAGAACTGAAATGAGCTAAAAGCAAATGTGGAAATAATAATAAAAAAAAAACCTAAAATTAGCATCAAATGAGCTAAATAGTAGCTGAAAGAACAGAAACGGCTGAGACTAGCAGAACATAGATGAAAGGAGCATAACGAAGTTATTTAGGCTGAAAGTAGCAGGAATGAACATGAAAATCTTGAATTTATCTGAAAACAGCTGAAATTAGCTAAAAAAAATGCTAAAAAGGTAGCCAGAAAGTTAAAACAAGCTTAAATTAGCAGAAGAAAGCAGAAAGAACACGTTTGCCCAATTATGCTGAAAGAAGCAGAAATGAGCACAAAAAGTGGAAATTATCTGAAATTATCTGAAAAAAGCTGAAATTTGGGAAAAAAAACAGCTGAAAAGTAGCTAAAATGGCAAAAAGAAGCTTCAAATAGCAGAAGGAAGTGGAGAGAGCACATTTTTGCTGATTTTTTCTGAAAAAGTTGAAATGAGTGTAAAAATTGTGGAATTAGCCAAAAAAGCTGAAATTAGCATAAAAACAGCTAAATAGTAGCTGAAATAGCACAAAAAGCTGAAACTTACATAAATAATATGAAAGGAGCATAACAAGCTGAAATTAGCAGAAATAATCTAAAAGGATCACAGCTGAAAGTAGCTGAAAGTAGCTGATTTTTTCTATTTGCACAAGGAAGCTGAAATAATGAACCAGAATAAAATGTGAAAGGAGCAGTAAAACATTGTAAACAGATCTAAAGATATCAAGGACATAAAATGAGCTCAATTCATTTCCTATGAGAAAAAAATGTAGCAGAAAAGGCTAAATATTTCAAAAAGCTACATTTGCACCAATACCAAAAGTCATGGCACCCTTTTCCTGAAAAGCTAAATGTTTTGATATGATTTGTTGAAATAGCACAAACATTGCAGAACGAGAAAGATGCCGAAAAATGTACGGAAGAAAAATAGATCACAATAATGTGAATGTTTCATAAACATTCACACAATAACCTAATCCCAACCACTTCCTGCACAAATATCTGTAATTATTGTCACTCGTAAAGAAAGTACATTTCTTCAGGTGATATCAAAATAATTTGTGGTTTTGTAGAAGAAAATCAAAAGTTATCAGTGTTTGCGGATGAAATAAAACGGAGACGGAAGGAAATGAACTGTTGATGTCTCTGTTCTCTGCTTGTGACGTTTTCAGGCCACTTTAGAGAGAAAACTAAAGAGTGCATTCCCTTGATTAGGCCAGAAGTGACACCATATCCAGTTCCTGCTAAACAGAACATGAGTGTAGATGACTAAACTGATAGTGAGTACCGAGTCAGATCCATCTGCTGATTAGTGGGATACACTGTTGCTGAGGCGTTACGGGATTAATGAAGAAGCCGGTCCCTCGATTCCAGAAAGAACATCAGCTGGTGCTTTCCTCAAATCCTGTTGGTCTTCATTTTTAATGACTTTACATATGAGCTCCCACACCAGTGACCTGCGTCCAGATAAAACACTCTGTCCATGAAATTAAATGCACAACAATATCCAAGAGGATTGATATGCTTTTTATGTTTTTCTCATTTTCTTTTTGTGTTTCATACTATTTGTGCAGGTTGTGCAAAATGATTGCACAATTAGAACTTAAATTCATATCAAACATACTTTTAGGTTATTTAGATTTTTGAAGGCAATGTTTTTACATTAATGTAAAAATCATTAAGATGTGATGGGTCATGTTTCTATGAGCTTTGATTTCATGCTCATAATTCTGATCAAAACCAAAATGGTTGAATTTAAATTGGTCATACAAATGAAATGAAGCATAAAGATAACACAGTATGTGCCTGAATACTTAGAAAATATTACTTTGCATGCATCAAACTGAAACATATCAGGAAAAGTACAAGAACAGTAGAGATAAAAACTAAAAATAGACTAAATTAAAGAAATTGCATTTCCTGTGAAAATGCAGTGCTTTTTGCTGAAGATTTTGCAGAAAAACAGATGAAATTAGCTAAAAACTTGCTAAATTGTAGCTGAAATTGAGACCTAAATTAGCAGAAGAAAGTAGAAGGAACACATACTTCCTGAATTAGGATTAAATAAACAGAAATTAGCACAAAAATTAAGAAATTAGCAAAAAACAGATGAAATGTAGCTGAAATGGCAGAAAAAAGCTTAGACAGTCAGAAGAAGCAGAGTTGAAATGAGCTAAAAATGTGGAATAAGATGAAAAAGCTAAAATGAGCAAAAAATAGCTATAGCAGCTGAAATAGCAGAAAATTCTGAGACTAGTAGAAGAAAGCTGAAATGTGCATAACATGTTAAAATTTGCAGGAATAAGTTATTGGGCTGAAAGTAGCAGAAATTACACAATAAATTAAATTGATCTAGTCCTCGTGACTCAACGGGACTGACCTTTAAATAAAGGTTGAATGAATGAATCTAAAAACAGCTGAAATTAGCCAAAAATATTAAAAGGTAGCTGAAAATGTAGAACAAACTTAAATTTGCAGAAGTAAACAGAAAGCACGTGTTTGTTCAATTAGGCTGAAAGAAGCCGAAATGATCCAAAAAGTGGAAATTATCTGACAAAAGCTGAAAGTAGAAAAAACTACTGAAAAGTAGCTAAAAGGCAGAAAGAAGAAGCTTAAATTTCCAGAAGGAAGTGGAGAGTGCTCATTTTTGCTGAATTGGGCAGAAAAAAGTTTAAATGAGTGTAACAAAATGTGGAATTAACTTACCATACCATACCATTTTATTTATAGAGCACTTAAAACAGCGACAAGGCCAACCAAAGTGCTGTACAGACAGAACAACAGGTGACACACAAAGCAAAATACAAAAACTTAAACTTACTTTTAGCTCAATATCTGTAAATCTGAGGGTTACGGCTGTTTTTGTTTGCGAGTCAGTTAGCTGAGGCAGCCATCTTGAATCACTACCAAGGTTAATCAGCTGTAGATGTACGTACAATGATTATTGAGAGTCTCATTAAAATCCATTCAGTGGTGGATGAGATATTTTACTAACAGACAGTCAAGCACACAAACACAGATAGCAAAACATTTACTCCTGCCTTTTGCTTTTTTGGCAGCAGGAGATAAGAAATGCTTTGCTTATTCATTATTCATTATATTCATATTTAAATTTATAAATTCACATGGATTTTTAAGATATTGATCTTTATGTAAATTTTTGCTAAAATTGTTATTTTTTTTATACTTTTTAAAAACAGCCTTTGCAAACTCTTCCTGAACTTTAAACTATCAACTTTATTAGAATCTGAGGACTGATTAAAAATATAGAAAAACAGACGTGTTAAAATTCCTTGCAAAAAATGAACAGTTACTTGTTGAGGTTTTATGAGCAAGACGTCATTTTCCATCGCAACTGAAAACATTGTTTATTTCTGATGTCCTGTCAGACGGTGCGCACTGTTCGCCGGCGGCGCTGCTACCCGCCCACCTGGAAGCGCTGGGTCTTCTTCCTCTTCCCCGGCACCATGATCGCCATGTCCGCCGTGGCGCTGTATGCGTTCGTGGAGACGGAGGAGAACTACTTTTACATCCACAGCATCTGGCACATGCTGATCGCAGGCAGCGTGGGTTTCCTGTTGCCACCTCGCGCCAAACCCGACGCCAAGGTGACCCCGCTGAAACGTAAGCGGGGCTGCGGCTATCAGCTGTGCGTGAACGAACACGAGGAACTGGGCCTGGTGGATCCAGCCATTATATCCATCAACAGCATCTGCACCAGCTGATAAACTCTCAGCTCCTCATATTTTATTTTATTTTTACTTTTTTTTTTTTTTTTTACCTTAGAGACACTCCATTGCCTTCTTTTACTTGGGGAATTCACACACAGGAATTGAAGCCACAGAACCTTTAAAAAAAAAAAAAAAATTAACAACAAAAAAGCAGTGTAAATACTTTAATCCTGATGTGATGATCTAGAACTCTTTTATTCTGTTGTAACGATCAAGGTAATTATGATCAGTATGTAATAATTATTCTCAATAGTTAAAGTTCTGACAAATTGTGGGTGTATATTGACACGCTGTTGTTTGTGAAACTGTATTTAAAGTCTAAGCTGAAACACTGCTGCTATCTGACGGCGACTGTACAACTGCTTCTGTCGGTTATTTATTGTTGGTCATACAAGCGGGCCACTTACTTGATGGTACTGAATGGCGGGCACGGATGGACATTCATCGAGGGCACGGCTTTTCTGAAATTCTTTTGAAATATATCTTTTGCACTGAGACACAAAAATGTTATTCTGTACATTTTTATAGGAGTATAAACAAGAGTGGGACATCACAAATGTAAATCCTAGCTGTCATGTGGAATGTTAGACTGTATTTTACGAGTGCAATGTGTCACTTTCACATGAATGTTTCTAATGTTTGTGGAGGGAGCTGTTCCAACGTTGCTGAAGGAGAAGAAGAGAGAGGCAAAACAACTTAGAGGGGCAGTTCAGATATTTGGAGTGGAGTTTTGTGGAAAGGTTATATAAAATTATTAATTGACCTTTTGTTTGGAAAAACAGAGTTTAATTCTGAGCAGATGGATAAGCTAACAGCTAATCTAAGTGGGCCGAGACCAAAGAGAATTTCTGCCGTCGTAAAACAAGCCCAATCTACAAATGACTAAAAACGCAAAAAACCTTGCAAAACGTGAGAATAACACATTTCTTTAAGCCTCAAATAACTAATTAAACTGGGGAGTGGTGGCGCAGAGGCTAGAGAGGGTGAGCCCACTATTGGAGGGTCGCCGGTCAACTCCCTGGTTCAACTCTCCAGACCCGGTCCGGAGAGTTGAACCAGGGAGTCCGGCGGACTGATAACACCAAAATGTGGGCGGAAAAGGTGAAACACCCTCATTTGCCCCAGCTGCTCCACAGGCACCTTAGATGGCAGCCCACTGGCCCACATGTGCAATGGGAAAAATGCAGAGAATTAATTTCCCTATTGGGGATTAATAGAGTACAATAAATAAAAACTAAATCTATAGAGAAACAAGATCAGAACAAAGGCCAATAACTGAATTTTTTTTCTAATGTGTATTTTTATTTAAGATAGAATCCTATTCTTTTACATAAATAGGCGGGGCTTAAAATTGTACTACACCTGGCCACTAGGGGGTGCTCAACCTTGGTAGCTTCAACTTCTGGACTCCCGTCCTATCTCTAGGTATAATTAATATTGATGTATTGCAATCTTTGTCAAACTGAGGTCATTCAAAAATCTATCTACAGCAAGTAAAATATCAAATTTTAAAACCTTTCCACACAAACTTACTTGAAATGTTCTTAACAATCCCTTTAAGAGACTGCAGTCCAAGACCTCATCTCCCCGTTCTTGTCAGACAGGACCTGCGTGACACCGCATTCATGAACAATAAATGTTTTCTTTCTTTGCCTCAGTGTTACTTTGCTGCTCTCAAAGCTTTTAAATGCTGTGCAACTGGTGAAACGTCTCACAAAGACATCATATTGCCATCCTTGGCCCTAATGGAAGCTGGTGGTTCTCAGACAGTGAGATGAGATGCTGTCAACAGCATCCTCCCAGGAATAGAGCGAGAGATAAATAATTCTTCCACACAGCAGCAGGATGAGAACGAGCTGTCGATATGTGGCCTTTCTCTTCCTTTGAAAAGAAAAGTAGGGCTGGGAGACTTTTATGACTTTCTGCTGTATCCTTTTTAGGTGTGATCCATCATTTCTTGTGCACGCTAGATAGTTTTTTCTGGATGATTTAAAAAAAAAAATCCACTTTTTTTAGCAACTGCACATTCAATAGCACGTGGTAAGTGACAGTTTTACCTGGACTATGTGTCACCATGACTCGTACAGGAATAGTCTGACATTCAGAAAAGTGTGCTTACTCACTTTCTTGTCTTGAAAGGATTGCCATGACTCCCCTTTTGTGTTTAAACAAAGCTTCAGTCAGAAAACTATTAGCTGAGAACAAAAAACACTGGAATCACGGGGAAACAGCCTGGCTGGATCTGTTCGAAGTGAACAAACGAAAACCTTTAGAGGAGTTGGGTTGCCATAGTTTCAAATTTACCAAACAAATTTCAGAGTGGTATTGATCTCACTTCAGTATCTGAGGAAGCAACATTTCCCCAAATGTCAGTCCATTCCAAAAGGAATATTAAAATAAACTTGAACCAGTAAGTTCATTCTAGCAATTGTTCTATTTTTTCCCTAAGGCAAATAAATAGTACTCAAATATATGGCTTATACTTATAGTAGCCAACCAGGCTACTCAAAGCACTTGATAACAACCTGTGCCCTCATTTACCCATCCCCACTCATTCATAGGGTACTCTACTAAATATACAAAGCTAATCTGAAAACATAATTCTGTAGAGTCTAATCAGTGCTTTAGATTGTATGATATCAATCTACAGATGAGGGACATCAGAAGCAATAAGGGGTTCGATGTTTTTCCCAGGAACATTTTGACATGCATACTGGTTGAACTGAATTTCCAACTTTCAACCTTTATTTAAACTGGTAATTCCCATTGAGCCTCGAGGACTCATTTACAAGAGAGACCTGATTTCAACAAAGAATGATGACAACAATGTACAACAGTGACAACAATAAACAGTTATAAAAAGTCATACAATTGCTTTTTTTGTTTTTTTAACAAATGGGATAGCTAAAAAAAAGTAACAAAAAACAGCTAGATTCTAAGGCAAATGTAGAACTTTCTGGTTAGAGGACATCAGCTCTAACCATTGATCCACATTGATCTCTGAACTTATTTTTTCAAATAAGCTCAGACCAAAAGTCAAACAATCAAAAGTGCAAGTTATCGTTTTACTTTGCAAGCGACTAAGATGGAGGATTATTCCAAAGCCAAGACTGCTGCAGCTAATTATCACTGTTTTTAACCCAGTATTTGCCTATTCAGCTATAAAATATGATAGAATGAGGTCACTGGAGGCCATGAAAACCACTGCATTTACTTATTTTATTCCCTCTAAGAAGGCTTGGCAATGCCACAAAATAAGAAGGAGGGTATGACCAAAGGTTTAAGGTTCTTTATTGTCATTCTCATCACATGTGGGACATGAGGTAGAATGAAATTGTGTACTCAAGGTCCCAGTTATACCCAAAAATAGCAAAAATATAAGGTATGAAAAGAAAGTATATAAGGATTTAAGATATGCACTAAGATATATGCTAAACAAAGGCCAAATGATACACTAAAAGATCTAAGATATATGCTAAACACTAATAATGTAAAATCATATGGTTTATTAAACAGCAACCCGAATATAAAACACCAAGCTTTACAAATACTGTTGTCTCATTAATTATTTCACTATACAGTTAAAATTAACAAAGTGGTTCCCACACAATCTTGACACCCCAAAAAGCCCATCAAAAAGAATTGTGGTCAACTTGCCTTCTACCAGATTTTTCAAATTCGTTTTTTCCAAATTTTTAAGGATCTGGTGAATTTGGAACTGAATAGTTGATATAAATATGTTTGAGTATGCATTGAGGATGACTCATCTACAACCACGCCAAAGTTTAGCTAAATATGTGTACATTTGACTTGATTCTTTGTTGTTTTTGTGTTTGCTAAAATCACTTCGCTGCTTGCCAATAGATAAAAAATAAAGTTGCTTAACTGGCAGCCATCTTGAATGGGGTTGGCTAAGACTGAGATAAACCTGGATCAAACTCTCAATTAATAAAATACAGATTTTGATGGAATTTTTTCAGGAGCTGCATATTAAAGCTACAAATAAAATCTATTCAGAAAGGGCTGTCTGGCGAAAGCTAATAGATTAATTGAACCTATGGTGTCTGTTACTCATTAATAAACATGCTTGTTAATCAGTAATGTTTAGGCATCCATCTGGTGAGAGCAATCAAGTCCAGTGTTTATTATGCATGATTGCATAGCAACCAGAAAATATGATCTAATTTTAACGGACCAGATGGACAATGGGGTGTAAATTTTGTTCCATAATGATGCCAGACAAGTTTAAAACGAGTCAATAAACAATCAGAGAAATATTAAAAATAACAACCCTATAATAGGTTAAATGATCAAGCATTGTCTTTTACTTCCATTGTTTTTTTCTATTAATTTATTGCATGAAAATGTCCAGTTTGTGTTTAGTGAAGCCGTCTAGGAGCGAGACATTGAATTTTCCCTCATCCTAATCAATTTATCACTCACTTAAATTGATCTTTAAACAGAAACAGGCCCCATTTGCCACATGAGTGTAAACTTGATTTAAATATTAATGAGAGATTAGTCAATGTCCATGAGGGACATTAGGAGTTGGGGAAAAAAGAGCAAAACCAGTGACGAATCTGTTACAACTGCTGCTACACCAGCAGATGGAGAAAAACAGACTGAAGGAGAAGAAGAAAAAAAGGACTCTTGAGTTTGAAATCATAGCTGCTGGTTAAATGTTGCAACCTAATGAGCAACAGTGAACAAAATATTTAACAGAAGAATGAGTCTTTAGAGATTTGAACCTCTCAACAGGACACCGTTCTCTGTGGTTTATCCCTAATAACACCAGTTTACAGTCTTTACCTCTGGTCATTTGTTCTCAGTGTGCAGCCAATCAATATTTCTCTTCAGAGTGAATCATTGAGGTTTTTTATTTATGGTATATATTTATACATTTATCTGGTTGTTGCAGTTGTATTGAATGTGAAGTAGTCATTGACCTGCTATGCCATCTTTTTGCTTTTTCGTTGTCTGTTGACCTAAAATTTAGTGTGGTAGTAGCTGAGACTGGTTCCCAAAACACTGTAATAACAAAAAATAGCACAAGATCCTTGTTTGAAACTTGGCCATTACCTGTTAGTGTGAACTCTGACTGTTAGTAAAATATCTCATGAACCACTTGACTGAATT